CAGGTTGTAAATTGTGTTTTTAAAAAGTAACTAAGTAACTAAGTAATTAATTACTTTTGAAAATAAGTAATCAGTAAAGTAACGGGATTACTTTTTTGGGGAAGTAATCAGTAATTAGTTACTGATTACTTTTTTCAAGTAACTTGACCAACACTGGTTAGGACTGTGACTAAAGTCTCTATTTTGTTTGCCATTCGGTGTCAGGGTAACTTGGTTCTTGATCCAGTGTTTTGTGTTTTGGAGTCTTGTTTATTCATGACTATGTTCCCTGCGTGTCGTGTGTTTCCTAGTTCAGTTTGCTAAAGCTTGAGTTTTTGCAGCATTTATAGTTTAGGTCGTTATTTGGTCCTGATCATGTCTTTGTTTTGTCCCTGTGTCCTTCCATCAGCATTCCTGTGGTTAGGTCTGTCTGGTCTTCATGTTTGTGTCTCCGGTCATGTCTCTGTGTGTTGTCGTCCCCTCACCTTCTTGCCCCTCCCTCTCCTCCCTCTGTTCCCTGGGTTTGTGCGTATCAGTGTGTGTGTGTTCCTCGTACTTCCTGTTTTAGTTTGACAGTCTCTTGTCCCGTGTGTTCCATGTTCAGCCCTGCTTCCCGTGTCTAGTTAGTGTGATTAGAAAGTAAGGGACGAGAGAGCAACACACAGACGTGACTGGATCAGAGAGCTGGTTGGTGTTAGTATCTTGCCCAAGAATATCTGGCATGTAGACTGGAGCAGACGGGGATTGAAGGACCAACCTTATGATTAGTAGGTGACTACAAGTGATTACACGTTAGTACAGCACTGTCTCTGATGTGTACCTGGTGTCTTGGCAGAGTCCTGTTCCACCAGCGGGATGTCGGTTCTGATGCCTCTTCTCCTTCGAATCAGTGATAGCAGTGTGCTATATGGAAAGACACAAATACATCGTTCAGCTGTTAGTTAGGCTGCTAACGTTTCCAGAAAAAGTTCACTTTAGGGAGAGAGTAGTGTTCAAATCTAAAACTGAGTGAAAGAAGCGGCCACAGTCTTATTGATTTCAAATCAAGGTAAACAAAGCATCCCTGAGATAGCTGAGAGCTACAATCCCTCCCGTGTGTGGTGGGACTCAGCTGGAGATGCTTGAAACATCTCACCTAGAAGGTGACGGTTTGTCAGTGCTAGCAACAAGCCAGCTACTCCTCTCAACAAAGCCCCCCAGGCTCTACTGTCATTGCCCATGTGTGGTGCCCAACACACCACATGAAGATTTCAAAAAGGACTCTGCTCTTTAAAATGTTCCCCAAATTAAATAAACCCTCTTGTTCACTGAAGAAACCTTCATCCTAGCCCACACATGTAAAGTTTGACCCTAGCCTGGCCAACAGGGTCTCATTAGTGTCCTCCAGTGCTGCTATGCTGGGCAGGGTGTTCATGTCTCTTTGCTGAGGTCCTACAAGAGTCCAACATTGCAGAGGAAAGGTCCCATGGTTGGTCTGGCTTGTGCTCCACCTTATTCACTTCACTTCAAAATCACTTTGCAGTATGTTCAACAACTCCTGTGTTTACACTGTGGACCTGCACTGTGTGATTGCTGTGATCAACAACTTATTTCCTTATAGTCAGTTTACTGTATAATTATTCCATCACACTCAAACACTTTCACACATTGATGATGTAAAGAGTGTGTGTGGTCAAACCTGAGTGGGTTCGTGGTTGAAGGCGGGGCTGGAGGAGGTGGAGGAGGTGGAGGAGGTGGAGGTGTTGGAGCTGGGGGTGGGTTGGTAGCGGCCTGAAGCTTTTTCTGGAGCTCTTCAACTGGCCCATCAATCACATCCGGTTACAGTGCCAACACATCACCAAGGACAGACATTTTTAACTATTATAGTAAACAACTAATAATCCTCCAGGCTGGCAAAAGCCACGCAGAGAATTTCAAGGTCACACTTTGAATCAGTCCTTCTGTGGAAACCTCCACACACACAGCGTGCTCTCCACACTGTTAGTGCTGTTTCCATTCTCCACAATGCCCCCTTCCAATATTGTTGACCTCACCTGTAAACCTCAGATCCTTGACCTCCAGTTCAGCCTTGGAGCATTTATTGCTGCACTCCTTCTTCTCCTCCTCCAGGAGCTCCAGTGTGTGCCTCAATGCTATGAGCTCCCTCTGAGTTTCACTGTTGCCCAGCATGTCCTCCATCATCTTTATCTGAAGATGGCCCAACACACAAAAATATTTTTGCTACAAAGGATATGCACACTAGTTCAAATCAGCGTAACCTTAAACATAGGGGAATATTTGGTTACATTTTAGACAGAACTGTCGACTGACAGAATGTTACTAGTTTGCTACATTGTAGCATAAAACTGCAGACAAACTGACAAAAGTTTACTTTGAAGAAACCACCTCTCCTCTGATAACACGCTGTTAAGGCGGCTTCACGAGGTCACGGCCTGCAGTGCTTTGCTGTTCGTGCGTTACCGTCACTGGTGTCCACATTCTGGGACTTTCTGTTTGTTCTCCTGCTTTCATTTACAGCTACAGGTAATAATATAATAATACAAACTAATCCAAAATGAAAGTGTTTCTCTCCTCAATGAAGAAATACACACGGCTGAATTATTTCTAATCTAGGAAGTGAATATCCCTCAAAGAAAAGACTGTGGATGACTCTGATAAACCAAGTGCCAGCATAGTGTCGGGTATCACGGCTACAGCTCCGGTGTTGCTAATTTCTCATAATTCTCATTGGACAGCTGCCAGTTGACATTCATTCATCTGCTGCACAAACCCAGTTCCTTAACCAGTGTTTTAATTGTTCCTCAAATGAAGGGTATGGCTCACCTCCACCCCAGAACCAGAAGAGATCAGTGATCCCTCTCAGCTCTAATTGTTCTCCATCAGAGCCACAGGAGGAGGGAGGAAGGGGAGGCTATTCAGCTGCTTTTAATTATTAATCTGGCAGGTCGCGGCCCTGTGGTTGTGCTGCCATGGCCCATGATAATTCACCAGGCATTTCCACTCTGTGTAATTAGTCAGCTAAATAAGTCGTGTTTGGATGCATACAAATTAAAAGCATTGTCCAAGCAAATTACAGAGGTGCGCTGCCTCCACTGCTTAACACTTTTCTTCTGTTTTAAGCAGAATGAGGTATTTCTGACTGACGCCACCGTCTGTTCTTAGGTATAGATCAGACTCTGCAGTCTTTAATACCAACGACCACAGCCATTACTACACAGCATTATATTTATATATATATTATTCTTTATACTGTTATTCAGTTTTAATTGGCTTGTTTTTCAAATGTGGCAAAATATCGTTGCTCTTCATTACATGGTTATCGCTGCATTATTAGCAGAATGAGCCAGGATGGAAACTAATGGAAGCATGTCAGCGTTTTTTTTTTTCATGATAAAAACATAGATATGCACTAGCAGGCTAACCGAGAACAGCTGGACTGTTTCAGTGTAGGAAGATTAAAGGCTAGCATCCAAAACACAGAGCAATTCCATCAGATTGATGCATGCTCAATCGTCCAGGTAAGTAAATCTCAAAAGTTGTTCATCTGGACGTAGCGTTTCTCCCACATAACGCTACGTCCAGATGAACAGAATCAGATCCACACGATGTCTGCTAATCTGGAGGTTATTTTATCTGACCAACCTTTTGTTGCCTTGTACACATCTGTGTGGAGAGGACAGTTTTTAGTGTTAAACAAGAAATTCATTATTTTAACAAGACTATTTCAGGCCACATCCAAAGCGTCTCTTATATCAGACCTGGCTCTGGTGCTGCAGCCTCTGTGTCTCCAGTTCCTCTGTCAGTCTGGTCACCTGGCTGAGGGCATCCTGCAGAGCCTGACTTGGTGAGCAGCTCTGCATCAGGATCTGACTCTGTCTCTTCAGCTTCTTTTGCTCGACCACCATCTGGGAAAACACCATGAGGAGGGTGGAGAGTAAGAACATGGAAGACTGTACAAACAAACAAACAAACAAACAAACAAACAAACAAACACTCACAGCTCTGGCATAATTCTCTGCCTGTGTCCTCAGATCTTGCTCCAGGTTGAAGGTGTCGTGTAAAGTTCCATATTCCTCCACAGCTAACTGAGACACTACAAGAAGATTTCCACAGGGAGAGATTTGTGCTTTGGGCAACCAGAAGTTGTGACACTGTCTAAAATGTAAATATAAACAGCAGATATGATTTGCAAATCTCATAAAACTACATTTTATTCAAAACAGGACACAGAAACTTACACAACTTCAGCCTCATTCACACAAGCACTCATTTCTACAGAAGTGCTTTCTATCCAACCTTCAAACACATTAGCGCCCGTGGCAGTGACAGCTTTCACACGTTGCTTTTAAAGCCACATGTGTTCCCATCCAACCGTCTTCTGTGAAGACCTC